CTGGACAAGGACAGCAATGGTTTTATTGCAGATATGTGTCCTAAAAAATCCACACATGGTTTGTGACCCAATGCAAAAAATAACAGCTTACGTTTATTAAAACATTATTATGAGAAACCTGCAAAAATAGCATTTTGCAGAACTGCAACCTGGCAAAGCCTCCACTCAAGAGTTTGCCAAAGGGTTGCAATACAAGACTGAAGCTGATTGGACTAAAATTAAGGGTCACACACTTAAACAAGCTTCTAGCTCTTTCAAACTCTATGGGGTCTGTTTAAAAACAGTTTGAAGAGCCATTCACCTCGCAAAACTGTGTGTGAAAGGAAGCAAAAGCTAACATTTTAGGTATATTGTCTTTTCAGGTTAAATGTAACATTTGGAAAAATAATACCTCATTATGGCCATTAGATGAAGCTGAGGATCATGAGAAATAAACACCTATTGCCTGTGCTCCTCTACTCAATCAAGAGGCCATAAAGCAGTATTTTCCAAATGTTATAGTAGATCTAAACAAATACTAATAATGTTTGTTTTTGCCTCTATTTGTGCAGAACAAATGTTTAAAGAAATTTGCAGGGTGAATGGCTCTGTGATTTTTTTACAAATAGAAGGAGGGTCACAACTAAAGTCAGTGGGAGTAGTTCATCCTATCTGTACTTCTGCCCTGCACTTTGCTGAGCTCAGTAAAGCCTATTAGCAACATTAGTGCAGCAACAGCACAATTTAACATTACTTGAACTGAAAAAAAATGATATGGATAATATGAAAAGTCCTAGGGAAACAGCTCATTTGCTAAAAGGGATGATTTAATTAGTAGACTTAATTTATACATTTCTGATGTGCCTAGATATGGCATGTACATGTGTCAGCGGAGGGTGACACAGTACAGGAATCCAGGTAATAATGACACAAGAAATGTTGCATTCTCTGCAGACTGGATACATATTTCTGCATTTGCATCAGATGAATCAAGAAATGTACAATTAAGTGACTTGTCTGAATCATAATTTAATTAGTTTATTACTTTTTGCTAATGGTAGCCATCACTAGAGACTTTCCATATTTAGCCCAAAATAAGTGCACCTTTTACAGTGCCGCTGAAGGAACAGCACCTTCTTTTAACAGAAAATTATATATTAATTACTTTTGTTCCAAAAAGCACACACACAATTCTGATTTTTGCACAGTGGAGTATTAAGCACATGGGTGCTGGTGTACGACAAGGTGAATATAGAGAAGAAGGGTTTAATTAATATTAGAAATTAGTATGGTGAGTTGATAGGTAAATTATAGATTTTTAGGGATTTGTTAACTGTTAAGTTTTGGGAGTGGTTACAGGTTAACAGCTCCTACTAGCAGTTTAGAGTGAACCTGTCACTTTTGCCCTAAATAGCCCAGCCCCTTGATAGCACAACCCCACTTCCATTAAATCTTATCTTCTTTGCACTCCCCCATTACCCATTTGCATTTCAGATCCCTGAGTTAACATATCTGTGTAAGCTCCTTATAGACTGGCTGCTCAGGTCCCAATCATTGCATCTTGGGAGGAATAGGAGAAGGCAACATACTCCTCTGACACCATGTATTTACCAATGTTTTGGTAAATACATGGTGAAGGGTGCAATGGTGAGTGCGGCAAAAATAAGTATCAGAGGAAGCAGAAAAGGGTTAGAAAGGGAACCTGTCACTTTGCACATAATGGGCAGCGCAGAAGATCTACTTTCAGAGTTAAGGGATCAATCAAAACATTAAGAACTAACACACTGAATAAAGATGCTACAACAATGAAACACCAACAGCAATAATCTAAATCATAGAAACCTATTTTATTTTAATAAATACATTTGTCCAGCAATTTTAATTTGTAAACTCCTGCTCGGTTGGGTTTTAATACTGAACTACAAAAGTGATAAATCATTTCTTATCACAGTAATTTTGTAACTGGTATTTGGCTGAACAGCATGGGGAGCCATGCTAGGACTGGTTCATTTATTGTTCCCTTACAGCTTTAGACAATTCATTTATAAAAAGAAAGGCACAGTTAATTTGTCTTCCTGAGCTATTCGTATCCTGTAGCATGCTTATGTTCACAGTAAACTAGTGTCACATCCTTGGCTGTCCTATCCAGTTCCCTGAACAGAAAAATTATGCCACAGTCCGTGTTATATGTCCTTTAAGAAGATTTACAGAAATTGATGCTGTTTTTATGGCTTAGACTAAGGCACAAAACACATAGCTAATACCATATGCTAAAATAACTGCAGACAGTTGTAAAAACGTGCACAGTAAAAATCAGTTAAAATTATGCTGGATAAAACATAGAACAAATTACTTTAGGTTCTTATGTAATAAGGTCTGCCTTTAATAGCTGTTTTATTATTGAAAGGAAAAAAAACGACTCAGTACTAAGCTGTTTGTTAAAAGGATAATTTGTTCTGGTGAGGTTGAGGTATATGAATTGTTAAGGAGAAATAAAATATAAATCTGTTAATCCTAAATGGAAAAAATTTGAATATTTTGTGTATATTTATAATGTGTTTTTCTATGACACAGTTTTACAATCTAAATGGGAAAACATGTATCAACAAAAATCCTATTTTCTTAGTTTTCCTATTTTTTGCTTAGTACTTTTCCTTTAGTTACATAGTTAGTCAGGTTAATAAAAGACTATTCCATCAAGTTCATCCCATAGGTACTTCTATTTGGAATTATTTTGTGTAAATGTAATCTTCATACTATCAATAAATAAATAAATCACTATCAGTCTACAATTGTTTTGTAGCTATTAAAATATTATAGAGATTTTTTTACATAACATTTACAATATTTAGGGGCTTAAATGTACAGTAAATGTTACCCAAATTACTATTTAAGTTATGAACCGCTATATAAGTGTTTTAACTTACAAGTATATGGTTCTGAGGATTCAATCATGAGATTTTTGAGCTCAACACAATAAAATAAATGTATTGGTATATAGTATCAAGACTTAAATACAGCAAACCAACAATCTATTTAACTACAAAATACAAAGAAAAGATTTAAACATGCAAAATACACAGACATTGATATATATAACAGACAAACGATAGGCATGCATTTAAGGGGGGAAATAGTATATGGATATTTACCCATTAATCGTCACATGAGGGCCCCATCCTGGTGGTCTAAAAAGACTAACTCTTCCCTTCCTGCCCCTTGATTATTATACCACTGGTCTTCATAGAAATGTATTGAGAGACATTGATTGGTGGCCTCCCAATGCTTAATTTATTCAGATTGAATTTCTGTCTGGGCATTGGCTAACCCCAGGCCATGATTTTATCTAAACAAGGGGGACAATCTGGTTGTTTCACTAGCAACAAGGAAACCTTTGATGATATTGGCCAGAGACAGTGAGACTCAAGGGTCTCGGCTCCGAAGTGTTCCTGGATACCATTGTCACTTGTCTTGACCATTTACCATTAACTGGCTACGCCTAATTACATTAAAGAATCCCCATGTAATCAATTCCTCAGGACAGTATAACACAATCATTTCCCTACTCTATTCAGTCACCCAACATAGAATATGTTTAATTACAAAAATAAAAGTATATACATATGTCTTATGAAGATTTGACATAAATGCATAAGGTAACAGTAAACTAACTGTTAGCTAATAGAGATCAAAACATGCTAAATCATTTCTTTCTGGTTACACTCCTCCTCGTGACAGTGCCGCCAAAGTTTCCTGAAGGTCCTATACAAATACCAATCTTCTGAAAGCTGAGGACTGCCTAGACTTAGGCAGACCCCCAAATGTGACAGTGCTACATTATGGGATGGGTCGATTTTTTTTGTACAAGAGGTGGTTATTCCCAACACCCACTATGCATGGGTGGCCCAACTGATAACTATATTACACATGATAAAAAAGTCCTTCGCCATGGAGTAGGAGCTTTTAGGATGGTCATATCAGGAGAATAACTGAAAAGGGTTGATTCTACACCATATATTGCCTCCTATCCTATACTATCAGTTATCCTAGCTAAGTGTAAATTGCCCCAATACAGGTTTACTTAAAGGGTACCTGGGCTCAGACTTTCCACACCAAAGTATTTATATATTCGGAACAAGCAGTAACAGAACTTTCCAGAAGAACGCTGGGAAAACATTTCTAAACCCCTGCACTGCAAGCATTAAGTGTTCATTTTCATCTAGCTGCAAAAGTAACACCCTAAGGTTTAATAAGCTAACTGAAAAAATATATATTATTGCTAATTCAATACTTTATATTTAACTAACTAAAAAAATATTACTTTTATGTTTTTAGTATTGCTAGTATAAAACTTCACCAGCAAAGCAACATAGTAACCAGATACAGTTTATTTCTAGGAAGGATTGTGATAAGCATTTTGCAAGCAGTGTACAAGGTCAGATACTGCATTTTACAAATAAATCATTTAGGGCCTGTTCACATGAGATCAGGTCCTGATCAGGTGCTGATCAGCAGACGTGGAGCTGCTGATGCAGTGCGTTTTTGACGCGTTTTTGATGCGTTTTCGGTCCGGATGCTGACAGTTAATTTTTTTGTCAACGTTGATGACATCATAATAAGTGGAGCAAGAATACATTTTTTTCTTTTTTTTCCCCCTTAGCTGCATTGCGTTGCATTTCCGTTTCGTTGCGTTTTCGTGCGCGTTTGCGTATCCGCGACCGTTTCCGGACCTGACAAAATGTGACATGCAGTATTTTTTCTGTCGTAAGCTGAACGGACTGCGCACGTGAGAACTGGAGCCCATAAAACACATAGGGATACATTGGGATGCATTTTGAGTGCAGCAGCGTACGGAGCCGGTCAGCACACAAAACGGACGTCGTGTGAACAGGCCCGAGGAACAATTTGAGGCTCTTTTTCTGTCCAGATCCTAATATAGCAGTTTACAAATTATGTTTGCAACAAACAGTGTTATTTGAAATGATCATAGTCTGCTAATTTATACACTTTTATATTCTTACCTGTGTGATAGAACTTCCCTGAAAATCCAAGATTGAAGGTGAAATTTGCAACCTGAGTACGCAATAATTTTTGTGTGTGTAGCAACGCCTGAAAGAAAATAAGTAAATGAATTAGAGAAACTCTGTCATTAATAGACTGAAATTATATATAATATTATGAATTTGACATGATAGATGAATGGCCTATACAGTAAAATCAGAATATGCCATGGATCACTACACATAGACAGGAACTGCTGATGAATATTACTTTTAAATATTCACAGTATCTCTGCTTGTTTAAATAGTTATTAGTGTCAAATCCATATTTTCCTTGGAACTAAGAGAATTACAGATCAAGTATAGGATTCTTATAAATACAATCATGCTCAACAAATATTGAAATAAGAATGTGTATATATAGGAAACCTATGAACATAAGGAAAAAGAGGATACATTGCAGAATTTATTTAAACATGGATATTATCCTTCAGACATATGAACGAATACATCTGAATGATACATTTACATTTAATAAACCCATGGAAACTTCCACCTTACTCAGGGGAATCTGGTCCACCCTCTCCCATGCTTGGTTAGTGAGGTTTCCTATCACAATAAGCCAGCAGTAAAACATGGAAAGAGGAATGCCATAGGCAGGGACCAGCTACTCTACTAAACAGCAGTACAGGGACTTGAAGATGTTATTTTGCAAGTATCAGATACATTTATAACTGTAAAATGCACGCACATTTTAAATGTTTAATATGATTTCTCTCAACTGACCCTATCCTAATAACACTCTAGAGTCCTATATTTCAGTAATTGAGAAACCAAAGAAGGCTCTTTCCCAGTATGGCAATTATAGGCCCATCTTGCTCACTAACAACAATATACTATTAGTGGCTAAAATTATCACCTTAAAATTGCTTTAAAATATTGACAGAAACAGTCTGCCCCAAGAAAATAGGCCAGGGAAATATAACTAAAACTTTTACCTTGTCTCTCATACCCAATGCTGAAAAAGCCTAGTGTTGATTGCATAAAGGCATTTGAATGAGTCCTTTAAAAAAGTTAGAAAACTATGTAAAGACAACTACGGCTTGAGTACGACAACATTACACATTTTTAAACTGATATTCATATAATTTTTTTTCAGATCTTCTTGTTTGCCTTCTGGATTTTCTACAGATATGTGTGTATAGTTTACTTTGGCTGTTTCTCAGAAAGTTTAAATGAAAAGTAATCTTCACTTTTAATGGATGTGAAAGTCTGGGATAAAATATCATGACTGAGGTTAAGAAACAGTTAGTGACAATTTGAAAACCTGCCCATTGCACAAAAATAAAAAATAAATCAATTTAAAGAAGAGTTCTGCTTGAACACCACAACGCAAACCACATGAATTAACTGTTCAAATTATATAAAACGAATTAAAGTTTTAATTAAGCGTGTGCTCTCAACTTTAAAGGCGATTATCAGCCTAGTATGTTTACTTTCTCTTCCCTACCCATCACTTGGTGTGAAGGAGGAAGCCTTGTCTAAGTTGCGTAAGATGTGTAAGCACTCTTGTGTAAACTGTGTGTGCCTCCACAAACACAGGCACATCAGGGCAAGCCACTCGTCTCCCCTGATCCCCACAACAAAGTCCAAATCCCATTCGCACTGCCACGGTCTCAAAACCACAAGGTATATGTGGTGCCCAGGTGACCACATGGATGGCGCTGTGCAAAACACGAATAGTAAATAAAAGTAATTCAGCGGCACACACTTGAAGGGTTTTTTGAAAGTATTGCTATATTTATTCAATACCCAATGTTACATGCTGTCATACAGTGCTAAAGTTTCGGGTCCGCACAGGGATCGTTCATCAGAAGGATCACTGTCACTGTCGCTCTGATGAAGGATCCCGGTGTGGACCCGAAACTTTAGCACTGTATGACAGCATGTGACATTGGGTATTGAATGAATATATCAATACTTTCAAAAAACCTTTCAAGTGTGTACCGGTAAATTACTTTTATCCCCGTGATCCCCTTCTCTTCCCTTCTTCCTCTCTCTCTCTCCTTCTCCCCACTGCAAGCTAATAGATGCACACTCGGTGGAGATTGCTCGGTCCCTTGTGACCTTGTACTGGACAGAAAGTTCAGGGAAGTGGAGCTGAGGGAGTTGAAACCAACTGTATGGAAACATGATGACTGTAAATGTTTGGGAAAAAATGTAAAAAAATACTTTGCAGGGCAAAGTATATTTGTTTGATCTGGATTCATTATTATAAAAAAATTACAAACCTAAATCTAAAACCCCACTGCAGTCATTGGTGGGTAAATCTTGAAAATCAATTCTGACTATTTTCAAGACTAATAAGGCTAATAGGCAAGGGATTTAAAAAATAGGGCATAGGGAGCAGGCACTGCCCTGGTAAACATGTACCAATGAAAAAAAAACATAAAAAAGTACTGTTCCACAGGGAGGGACTTCATTTGTATGCAGCCTCAAGGGCGACATTGGAAAAACAGCAATCCCTTCAATTACATGATTGGGAGATTCTTTAGACTGTATGTGGTGTAACGGAATTATGTGGCATCACACAATTTGCAAGTTTAATACTTTTTTTCTTTACTTTAATAACATGTTGGCCCTTAATATAGCATCAGCAGCACCTACATTTTTTAACTTGCCATAACTGTCATGAATTGGCCGGCGGGAGTAGCAGCCAGCCACAACAGATATAAAAGCAATACTAGTTTTCACTCTTCCAGAAATGAAGCTTAAGCCCCCAACTTTGTACAAACTGGCCAGTGGCCAGTTTGATAGAGAGTCATTGTGCTTCTTTTTTTTTATCACAGAAGCACAGTTTGTTTTCTTTAAAGTTTAATAAAATGTCAGTGCATCAAAACACTTAAAACCACAATCCCACATTTCTTGCATTCCCACTCGCAACCCCATATTCCATAAATATTCAAAATATAGACTTCAGGTATGTGTTTGGTAGAAATTGGCTAGCTTCAGGAGTTCGGCATTGTGGGCCTTTTCAAGGTACTATTTGCCAACAGCACCATAATGGTCAGCCTTCAGTCATTGTAGTACAAGCCATTTTGGTAACACATGCATGAGGAAACTGGACTATGGATCAATAAAACACAAAATCAAGGTTGTTTGCCCAATAAGCCCTAAGGTAAGGCGTCAAAAAAAAGTTTCAAATGTGGCAATATCGTCTTTCAGTTTGAGATTAGTAGGATTGCAAAATCAATATAAGAGAGACTAAATATTCACACAAATGGTCCAAGTACACATTCTTGTGAGACACACTAGGCCAGTACACCCAATATTTTCACTCATACTTGCAACTGGGGAGATCCTGGCAAAAGGCTTATCTAACGGCTACACTCCCTATATATATATATATCTTAACATTTCCTAGGAAGGTCCAGACTAAAGCTTGGTATACATTGGTAGATTTTCAAATGAACTTTCAAATGAAAAATCTCATCATTTTGTTGTTCAAAATTTCATGATTTAAGCATACGATTTTGGAATGAGTTAAAGGAGAACTATGGGGTAAAAATGTTTTCCATAATTCTCTTTTGGTTCACGGGAGGACATATACTGCATCCTCCCATGACCCAAAACTCAGCATATAGTGGGCTATTGGCTGCTATATGCTGAGAGTGCCGCAGCCAGGACGGATCCTGACAATACTGTGGAGATCCACCCAGCTGCCTGACTATGCCTACCCCCTCCCCTGTCCATCCCTCTACTCAGCGCTGGATGATCAGAGCGGGAAGGGGGGAATCCCTGCAGAGAGCAGTGACTGACAGTCACTGCTCTCTGCAGGTAGATAATCGGGAAGTAAGCGGATCGGCTGTATGTCTTCCCAATCAATAGAGCCGACGTGTAACAGTTTTAAAGTCACAAGTCGGCTCTAACTATGGGAATAAGTGTGTTTACTTTATCTTTTAAGTTTCTCGAACAAAAACCACATTCACTGTTAGAATTTATTTTACTTGAGAAAACATTTGTATCATGCTTTTTCCGTCATGAAGGTTGAAATCGATTGTGAATTTAACCCCATTAACTATTAGAATATCAAACAAATGTTCTGGAATCAATTTTGGAGTGTACTGGTGTATGGCCATCTTAAGTTTCCTTTACAACTAAACATTGTGAACTACAATAAAGCCTGAATAGCTCATAGTACTGCACTTCCTGTGAGTATTTCAGGACTCTGTTAGAAAAACATATTTGTGTACATGTATAAGCTGTATTTTAAGATCAATTTAATGAGTTTGATCAAATCAGAACTGGATTAAATGGTCATTTTTCTTTATCAATCTAGAGTTCAGCTTTAACATTTAAGTCAAGCCAAGCCTGTTAATCACAAATTGTATGTACGCTAGGGACTCTGTTAGAAAAACATATTTGTGTACATGTATAAGCTGTATTTTAAGATCAATTTAATGAGTTTGATCAAATCAGAACTGGATTAAATGGTCATTTTTCTTTATCAATCTAGAGTTCAGCTTTAACATTTAAGTCAAGCCAAGCCTGTTAATCACAAATTGTATATGCGCTACATGGCAAAAAAAGTGGGCCAATTATTGACTTAAGATGAATTTGGAAAGAAGTACTATTAATACTACAACATAGAATATGTAAACTGGTTACTGTTAATTCTAAAGCATATAGTACAAAGACATTTAAGAATTGTGCACTTCTAACCTTCCTGTTTAGGGAAGACCATTTTCTGTTCCAATGTTACTGTAAAGCAATATATGTAAAATAAAATGCTTTATAGTCCATATGTATTAGTACAGTGGTGAACCACATGAAAATGAGAAGTTAACTATTTTCTCCAAAGGTACATTTGAATATGCATCAGATGCAGAAGAAAATGTCACTGTGTGTTTTTATGGATAGCATTCTGTTAATGGTCGGGCCTCACTCCTGCAAGGAGAAGCCATAGAAAAAAGTCAGCTCAGTACACAGACCTGGTGTTTGCAGGACATATGTCCAAGGTCAGAGCTGTATGAAACCACCCAAAAAACACTGGCAAAGGGTGCACTGGTAAAAAAAAATACTGTATACACCAGTAAAAAATGATTTCCT